GTTAAATAAAACAACATAATGAGAAAACAGGAAATGTTCCAAGCAAGATTGTAACGTGATTGCCAGGACGATTAGGTTTTCCTTCCCTTCAGGGAAGTTTGATTAAAAAAACTTTCAGCACAATGCATAGCCAAGCAAGAGATTAATTTGGGGGGAAAAAATTAATACCAGTCATAAAAAGACCACGGCATGAGACAAAATTGAAAACCAAGGCTTAGCTCTTAATGTAATTTGCTGTTTTTAATGAAAGGCTTTGAAATTTGGAATGAACTTCTGCTCCAAGATAAGGAGCAGTAGCTTTTTCTTAGGTTTTCTGGGAATATTTTGAACTCTAAACATGTGAGGACCAAAGGCCTGATCTCAAAGCCGGGTTTTAGTTTCTTTTCTGAAGGCCAGGAGGGAGGGGGCTGATCTAATTTCACTGGGAAGGGAGTTCCATAGACAAGGGACCATCACTGAAAAGGCCCTGTCTCTCGTTCCTACCAGTCACGCCTGCTATCCAATGTCTAGATAGATAGATAGATAGATAGATAGATAGATAGATAGATAGATAGATAGAGTGTGTCCAGTGGTACAATGGGTTAAACCGCTGAGCTGCTGAACTTGCTGATCGAAAGGTCACAGATTTGAATCCGGGGAGTGGAGTGAACTCCCGCTGTTAGCCCCAGCTTTTGCCAACCTAGGAGTTTGAAATCATGCAAATTTGAGTAGATCAATACGTACCACTTCAGCAGGAAGGTAACAGCGCTCCATGCAGTCATGCCGGCCACATGACCTTGGAGGTGTCTACGGACAACGCCGGCTCTCCGGCTGAGAAATGGAGATGAGCACCAACCCACAGAGTTGGGCACGACTGGACTTAATGTCAGGGGAAAACCTTTACCTTTTACCTAAACAAAGCAAAAACAAGCAATAAACACACACACACACACACACACACAAGCTGTGCCCACCATGTGATGCTGTGGCCAACCTTCCTCTTTCTCTCCTTCTTTCTTTCTCTCGTTCCTTCCCTCTCACATTCCTTCCTT